TATATATATATATATATATATATATATATATATATATATATATATATTGTTATGTACTGTATTTTAATAGATTTGGAATACTCTTTGTGTTTCTGGTGTCATTTATGATGTTGTTTTAAAGGATTAATGTGAAGCACCTTGTAACATTTGTTTAAAAAGTGCTATACAAACAAAGTATTATTATTAATATTTTAGTTTACGCACAAAGGCGACATTACCTCTACATGTACAGCAAGAATTAAGGGCTTAGTGCACAATACATAAAATAAAAACTATATAAAAAAGTCAGACATTCAAATTTCTACCTTTATATAATAAACATGGAATAGTAATGAAAATGTATGACGATGTTCATGCTAAGTCCTCAGAGTTTCAATTTAGTTGATAAAAATAAACACATTGAACTTTAAAGCCATACATATGAACAAAAACTTTGTTGTTTCATAAAAAATATTCTTTTTGAAATGATCTTTTTCCTTAATTCGTTTCCCACAATGCCTCACCACAGCTACCACCTGGTGGCCCTGTGGGTTCGAGCTCTGTGTGAAAAACACAGGATTCTTTATGAGATGAAAACTTTGTGTTGAGGAATGACAGGTGTTGTCAGGTAAACCCAGAGGAGGAGCAACAAAACGTCAAATCAAAGCTGTATGTTGGATCAGGCAGTAAAAAGATTAAACTGACTCAATAATAAGATACACACCTTGAGCTATAGATAAATTATCTTTTCCATTCTAAATGTGATAAATATGATAATAAAACATCAAAGGAGTAACAAAATGATATTTTGTTGACTGTTTTTGTCTTTTTCAGTTCATTGAAAACATCAGAGGAACACATCTGGATGCACATCATATACCATGAGCCTTTTATAAAAGCTGTGATTTTATTTTTCGGCTTTGATTTTAAACTTATGCTCTGTTTGTTTGTTTTACACATAAATCAAAGGTTACGTTTTCAGATTTAGCACTCTGCCAAGACGAAAAGTATTTTAGAGGATTTCTATCAATCGTGGTGTGATTTTTTTATTTTCATTTAAGCAGAAGAATTGCTTTTCAACTGGAACATGTACTTTTCTTTTAAGTTTTATAGTAAAAAAAAAACTGTTTGTGATGTGTTATTCTAGGGTCAAAACCCCCTCAATTAAAATAAAATTTTAACAAGTGTCCAAAGCATTTAATTGGTTTAGCATTTGAAGTGCTAAAAGTAACCATGATAAAGTTTTCTCTAAATTGTAATGTATTTAATACCAGAAGAGCAAACTGTATATTTGACACCTTTCATTGAAAATGTTGAATATTTCATTGTTTGTACAGTAAAAACAGCAACAGATCAGATTAAATATCAGATTGTTTAGTTGTGCTCGAGTGGTTTAAGTCCTATTTAACAGACAGAACTTTCTCTATGATTGGTGATCTGTCCTCTTCTTCAGTCTCTTTGAGCTCTGGCGTACCGCAGGGATCCATTCTGGGGCCTGTTCTCTTCTCACTTTACATGCTACCATTAGGACCTATCATTGCACGCCATAATCTGTCTTTTCATCTGTATGCAGATGATCTACAAATCTATCTGCCGGTCACTCCCAGTTCCTCACTCACTCACTCAGTTTAAACTCTGTTGCCAGCTGCTTAAACGACATTAAGCACTGGCTGTCTCAGAATTTTCTCCACCTAAATAACGATAAAACTGAATGGATTTTATTTGGTGCTTCCAGTAATTCATGCAACATCTCTCCCAGTCTAGGTTTTCCGCTCCCCCACGCCAACCAGGTGGTAAAAAATCTAGGAGTGGAGCTTGACTGTAACTTAAAGCTAGATAAACAGATCAGTTCTGTTGTGAAAACCAGCTTCTTTCAGCTCCGTCTGCTTTCCAAGGTAAAATCACTCCTTAGCCGTAGTGATCTGGAGAAGGCCATCCATGCCTTTGTGAGCTCTAGGCTTGATTACTGTAACGCCTTATATGTCGGTATTAATCAATCTTCTATCTCCAGTTTACAGCTTGTACAAAACTCTGCTGCTCGCCTGTTGACTAACACATGTAAATATGAACACATCACTCCTGTCCTTTCTTCTTTACACTGGCTCCCAGTTCAGTTTAGGACACAGTTCAAGCTGCTGCTGTTTGTTTTTAAAGCTTTGAATGGCCTTGCACCGCCTTATATTTCAGAACTTTTGAAAGTCCACCAGCCCAGCAGAGCTTTATGGTCTGCTGGTCAAAATCTGCTGGTGGTACCACGCTCAAGGTGCAAACAGTGGGGGGACCGGTCCTTTTCTGTTGCAGGCCCAGCAGCCTGGAATGCTCTTCCCTATGAGCTGCGTTCCATCTCTGATCTGGTTCTGTTCAAAGCCAAACTGAAAACATACTTATTTAAAAGGGCTTTTAATGTTTAACTATTAGTAGTTTAGTATTTATTTATTTATTTTATCTCTTTTACCTTCTTTTATTCTCGCTGTGTTTTTAATTTGCACCGATTTATTGTGTCATGTTTTTAATCTTGTTTTGTCTTGTGAAGCACCTTGGTCAACGCAAGGCGTTGTTGGAAGGTGCTATAGAAATAAAGTTCATTATTATTATTATTATTAAAAACATTTCATTTTCTTTAAATAAAAATGGCCTCATATCACTAGGTTATTGCTTTCTAATCTTCTAAGACTGACTGATAACTAATCACAAGATTGTGCATCATATTAATAAATGCTCATCAGCATTTATGAAGCAAGTTGAAAATTACTGAAACAATTAAACCGTTGTGCCATTAATGATCATAAATATTAACCACACCTCTTGACATGTTCGTATTTCATGCAATCAAATGCATACATTTAGTTTTCCTAAAGTTTCATCGGCACGTCGAAACAATAGGAAACGTGCTCTTGTCAAATATTTATGAAACCTAAATTAAAATAAAAGATGAAGTGATAAATAAGTTAAAACCATATAGTAAAGTTCATCTACAAAATGTTCCTGGAGGTTTGGATCAGGAGACAGATTTTACTTTATCTTTCACCCTCCAAGAAGGTTTGCTCGGGTTCGAGGTGTGCATGAGGTCATCATCTCGCTGCATGACAACCTGCTACAGTTACTGAAGGTGTTGCACAACACTGCAGGATGAAGTGATATACCTGAGATGAGTTTGCCTTGGACTTTGTAAAGCTCTCCAACTTGGCATTTATATGACCATCTTTCACACTGAAAAATCACCCCATTTCCACACAGAATAATAAAACATGCATTACATCAGGCATGTTCTGGTTTTTAGTAGTACTCACCACTTCTTACCTTTGCACCACTGTGAGTGTTCTGGCAGCTGTAATGTTCTGGACTGCAAAGCTCTGCAGAAGATGGTCAAGTTGGCACATTATCCAGGAGTAAAACCCACAGAGGATCCTCTCTGATTCCAGCTTTTCATTCTTCCTGCTGGAGCTCTCAGCCCTCTGTAACAACAGATTCTAGGACAGTTTCTTCCTTCAAGGCATCAGGCTCTTTAACTGCACATAATTTCTTGTGCGTTCACTCAATTCCTTCAGTGTGCACAGTTACTCGTACACAAATGTCTCCCATCTACCCCCACACACATCAGCTTGTTCCACTTACCACAATGAAACATTAGTTGAAGTTTTGTTAATTAAACTAAACTTTTTATTTGGTGTTTTCATGTGCAACTTCCAGAGTTTGTATGTTTAAGAATAGATATAATTAATTAATTACATTATTTGTTCACGACAACATAATACTTCTAATTCCCCAACCAGGTGGATAACGTCTTTGCAATTTTTCTCGTAATAGGAGTAAAATAATTTGTTTTGTTCATGCCAGATGTGTTTGTGCTGTGTGTGGTTCCAGGGTACAATCGTTTGAACTCTTAACACAAGAGAAGTGTCTCTTCTAAACAGTGTCAGATGTGGAAATTGTTCTTAGGGCAAAAGTGAGATCTTAAACAAAAAACATTTTGAAGTTCAAGATATTCAAGTTCTAAATATTTAAGCAAAAATAAAACGTATGTGGATATGTCACTGATTTCCAAACACCATACAAAAACATACTGTATTTAATATCCTACAAATAAGGTGGCACTTCCCCCAGTGGCCCCTCTGTGCAGTGCCAGTCCAAGCCTCCATGAGGCCCTATGCAAAATTTTGTTTGGGGCCCTCTATTTCCGCTAATAATATGTATTACTGCAATCAACAGTCACATGATCAGATCAGTCACCCACCTAACATATCATTGCAACTCTGACAGCTCTGTTTACATCATCCTATATCATCTAGTGCAGGGGGCAAACTCATTTTCATTTTGGGCCACATCAGGCTCATGAATGTCCTCAAAAGGCCGAACATGGCACAATGTATTGATAAAACTACCCATCCCTCAACCCCCTACCAATTATACACAAACACAAACATGCTAGCATAAATGTTTAGCTGTTTAATCGGACCATTCAAGGTCGCTAGCAACCTAATTCTCTATTAGCAGTTACACAAATCTTTTTGATAAACATTACATTACCAAGAGACGTGCAAACATACTTTTATCTTAGTTTTGTTTCCTCTTCTTCTTCTCTTCTCTGCCCCTGAAGGATATGCCCTTTTTTGCGACATTGTTTAGCCTACTTGTCTTCCTCCGGTGCTTTGGAAGTTTGGATACCACTTAACATTGCACGGCAGGAAGCTCATATTACTGGTGAAACGTGACATACTGCAGCCACTAGGGAGCCCCCAGACCAATTTTACACAGAAATTGAGTGTAATATAATCATATAGAACTCATTACAGAAAAAAAAAAATCCACTTAGGGGGCCCCCTAGTGGCCCCGGGGCCCTAAGCAGCCGCTTAGTTTGCTTATGGCTTGGGCCCGCCCTGCCTCTGTGCCACCCTCTAGAACCACCACTGCTCCAACAAAAAACCATCAGTGCATGAAGGTTGGGAGCAAGCAGAGTGATGAAAACACAACTGAGATGAGGGTTTAAATTTAAAAAAACGACAAGATCAATATAACATTTTGTAGACAATTCTGCACCAAAACAAATCAGTGAATTCATTTTGTTTTTAGTTTCAAATCACTCTGAATATAATAATATTGAACACTTGTTGAATGCCAACGGAATGGAAAATAAGATTGTCACAGAAAATGAGATGTTGAGAAACATTTGTGTGTGTTTTTACTGAGTATTCTGTAATATATTATAAAAAGCACAACTTATAGATCACAAATGGTCTAGAAATATGTACAGCTGAGCAGAAAACGACGTTAAAAATGTCTTCTTCGTCGATTTTACTTCTTCATCTTTTTCTTCTTCGTCGATTTTATTTCTTCTTCGTCGATATTATTTCTTCTTCGCTTTTTTTTCGAGTCGCTCACTCAAAGTGAGTCTTACAATATCAAGCATTTAACTTGTCTTCATAAAACGTGCATTTGTTTTAAAAGCCAGCGGTTAAATCATGTCGGGGTGGTTTCCGGGCGGGGGAGTTTGTCGGGACAAACACGAAGATGAACGGCTCGTGTGCTCCTGCTAGCTTCTTGATCATTGTCTCCATAGATATAAACACATCGTCTCTCCTGAATTTCTCTTTGAGCGCTCCGACTGTGTAAGGTGAGCAGCTTCTTCAGCCTATCGCCGTCGGACCAGCAGTCCGAAATCTCCATAGCTGCGCTCCGATTGGTCCGAACATCTCGAAAGATCCGCTCGAAGTTCGAGCAGTCGAACCGGGCCTATCACAGAGGACGGGTTCTGATTCACAGAGGACGGGTTCTGATGGCTTTATGGTCCTTTCTGTTTGAAACGAGCAGATGAAGCTGATGTGACTGAAGCCCCACAGAGCATCAAAGTCTGGCTTATGTGAGTTTCTCGTGATTAAACTTCCCACTGTTGTGTCATAAATGTATAATTACTGTTGTATTTAGGGTTCTTATCTAAAATCATTCTCAAATAACGGTGCCATTTTTATCTTTATGATTGTAGCTTAGTGTTGCGGCTTCATGAATGACTAAAGAGAGCCACATCCTGCTCTGAAAGGTCATCATGTTTCAGCCACTTTTTCTTTTTACTTTCAGGTTCAGGCGCTCCTTGAGCTGCAGGTGGATCAGAGACAGCATCAGTGAGGATGGGAGGTGGAGGCCAGCAGACGGAGCAGGGGGAGCCGGGCAGTGGGAAGGCTGCAGGTGTCTACACCTGGGAGGAGGTCCAGAAACACAGCAGCAGGACCGACCGGTGGCTCGTCATCAACAGGAAGGTCTACAACATCACTCAGTGGGCCAGGAGACACCCGGGGGGGTCTCATATTATCAGCCACTATGGAGGAGAGGATGCAACGGTAACTATGCTCTACTTCTCTGATTGCATTTGATTCTTGTTGTAGCTGGGTAAAGATTGTAGTTTTTATGTTTTGAAAGTGGTTTTGATTGCATTTTCTTCGTTCAACTTTTAGGCAATGATCTAGCTTTGTTTTGCTTTATGCAGCTCTATTCTATTTCAGCTTTTTAAATTGTACATCAAGTATTTAAAAAAAATATTATAGTAGGCTGTAATTATAATAAAAAATGGGTCGGCACAGTTCCCTCACAGCTAGAAGGTTGCACGTATAAAACTCAGCTGCAGCCTTTCTTTGTTGCGTTTGTGCGTTTGACGGGTACCCCAGTTTCCTCCCACAGATTAAAAACGTGCATGTTAGGTTCATTGGTAACGCTAAATTGTCTCGAGGTGCGAGTGTCGTGGGAAAAAAAGTGATTCCCAAAACCAACCATGTGTAAGTTCATCAGATTTATTTACAAAGCTTTGGAGAACCACAATCACAGAAGATCGATGCATTTACAAGTTCACACTTCTCAGTGCCTTCACCTGTCTGAAGCGCTGAGCCGGCCTGACTTCCCGAACAGAAAAAGTTAGTTTTGTAGAATCACCCCGGTGCCAGCCTTCAACCAGCCCCCCCTCACTCTGCTGAGTCCTTATCAACAGTGCAGCTGCTCACAGGGACACTCAGGGAGTTGGTTGTGAAGACAAAGACTCAACTCTAACACGTCACATTTAAAACTGTCTCTTGCTGTCCCTTACTGACCTCTCACACCAAGACTGATTATTACACAGGACATTTTAATATCATTCAATCACAGTGCAGGAGCAGAACATATGGAGCATGCGAGTGCAAGTAATACACATAACCTTGACATGAGTGAGAGTTGTTTGTCTCACTGTGGTCCTGTGATGGACCAGCATCCTGTCCAGCGTGTCCCCTGCCTCTCACTCAATGACCCCTGAAGATAGACACCAGCTCCCCACGGTCCATGGAAAAGCGTAAAAAAAATACATGGATGAACGTGACCATAGAGCCGTAAGACATTAACTCAGGGGCCAAACTTTTCCATATCTGCACCTGGTTCCAGAAACAAGTTGATTCTTCCTAAGAAGTTGAACATCTCTGGATAAATGCCACCACTTTTATTAGTCGACTTGTCGGTTTTAAATACCTGCAATGGCACGCTTATTGTGGTGGAAATCTGAAAAAATGATGCCATCCCTTTTCTGACACCTACAATCCATCTGTTACATACTTTACCACAACGTTGGTCTCTAATCCTTAACGCCCCCTCCTCTTGTGAAAAGTAGCTGTTGGCAGATGCATGCATGAGTGTGACCTTTGCCCAGTATTTTTACATGGCCTGTAATAAAACACATCACCTCATGCTGTAATAGTAAATATCTCCAAATGTCATCCTGACTTTTAATTGGGATCACCTGCACTTCAATTATGGACATAAAATTTATAGATTTATAAGCTGAGAGAAATATAGTTGTTGTATCATTAATATGTATTTGTAATATTTAGTCACTGTGTACATAAATCATGAGAATTTTTTACTTCTTTCTGCACCCTTTTCATTCAGTGTTCTTTTTTTTGATGAATTTGTTTTGTTTATTTTATTTCTTTTAAATGAATTAATAAATTAATAAATAAATATAAAAAAATATTACATACAACATGTAACATACTTGCTAAAATATAATGATTTCTTTAACTTTTGACCTTTATAGTTCATTTTATTTTTCTCAAGTAAAACATCTTTACTAAAGATATGGTTTAAGTTTATTTTTAAAAACATACATTTAAACTTTTGCTAGCACGTCCGATTTTATATTCGTATTTGCTTAATTCACGGGATTTCTTCGTTTGTTTCCAGGAGGCGTTCACTGCTTTTCATCCTGATCCAAAGTTGGTGCAGAAGTTTCTGAAGCCTCTGCTGGTTGGAGAGTTGGCACCAACAGAACCGAGTCACGACGGGAAGAAAAACGTGAGTTTTTAAATCACGTTCTAGGAACGTTCATCTCTTACATGTGCAATGTACGCACATGTGACGGAAACAAATGTGACAGCGATCTAGCACCTTTACAGCTTTCATCTCCTCTGCAGGTGAGAATCATCCAGGATTTTGAAGATTTACGAGAACAAGTGGAGAAAGAGGGTCTTTTCCGTGCTCGGCCTCTGTTCTTCTGCCTCCACCTGGGTCACATCCTGCTGCTGGAGGCCCTCGCCTGGCTCATGGTTTCATACTGGGGGACGAGCTGGATGCTGACATTACTGTGTGCAGTGATGCTGGCAACATCACAGGTACTTTGATAATAAATGTAACTGTTCTTGTTGTAGGAGATCCTCAAGAAAATCTCACTTATTCATCATCTCCTCACTAGTCTCAGGCCGGATGGCTGCAGCACGACTTTGGTCACCTGTCTGTCTTCAAGAAGTCCAAGTGGAATCACCTGGTGCACAAGTTTGTCATCGGACATTTGAAGGTAACATTCTAAAATTTAAGAAGTGAGTCCTGTAACGTTTACGCTGATGCTAAAAGATTTCTTCTCAACAGGGAGCTTCAGCCAACTGGTGGAATCATCGACATTTCCAGCATCACGCCAAACCCAACACCTTCAGGAAAGACCCTGACATCTACATGTTGGACATCTTTGTACTTGGAAACACTCAGCCTGTGGAGGCGAGTAGAGTCGGGAAGACAGATTTTTAAACCCTTACATATTCATACAACCTAATGACTCACTGCTTTGTTGTTTTTCTTACAGTACGGCATAAAAAAGATTAAATACATGCCCTACAATTACCAACATCATTATTTCCATCTTGGTATGTCTGGTTTAAGACATTAAAAATAACACATGACTTTCTTTTTTGCACTGATTTATAATTCTTTCTGTTTCAGTGGCACCTCCTCTACTTATTCCTGTTTTCTACAACTTTAACATCATGAAGACCATGATCACTCATCGTGACTGGGTGGTAAGGCTTTGTGTTGTACAGCTCTAAACATTGAAAACATTATGACAGAAAAGTGTAAATACATTATTTTATGTCAAACTATGACACGTATGAGTCATGATCCTTCAGGGGAAGAAAAATAAATAAATAATGACCTTTTCTTTTTGAAGGATCTAGCTTGGGCCATGACATACTACGTCCGCTACTTCTACTGTTATATACCTCTCTACGGCCTGTGGGGCTCGTTGGGACTCATGTTTTTTGTCAGGTAAATGGGCCCAAGTTGAACTAGTAAAATTAGCATTTCCTGCAAAAATTCAGCTAAATTTAGCTGAAACCTGCTGAAGAAGCTGAAACTAAGCTGCGATTTTTCAATCGCTGAACTGTCTATTTGTTTAATATGAACAGAGGAAAATGTAGCCAAAAATAGTTTAAAAGTCTGGCAAACAGAAGGAGAATAAAATCAAACGGTTATCAAATTAGAGCCATCTAAAGGAACGGGTGACCTTGACCTTTGACCCCATGGCCTTCCACGAAATCAATAGGAGTCATCATGCTGAAATTTTGAAAGATGAAGTTGCAAGAAGTACAAAAATAAAAGAAGAAAAAAAAATAGGCAGAAAAAGGTTGAAATTAAGTTAAAAAAAAATCAAGAATCTGCAGAAAAGCAGTAACTATCAAAAAATAAGCTTAAGCTAGTTAAAAGTCAGAAATAGCAAAGTGCTAGTAAAAAAAAAGCACCATAAAGCTAGCTTCAAAACAGAAAAAAATCAAATAAATTATTAGCTAAGAACCAGAAGCAGCAAAATGTTGTCACAAATAAAGAGAGCTATAGAGCAAGAAATAGTGAAACTGGTAAATCCAGTTTATCGCAGTAAAATGTAACCATGAAATCAATAGAGAGCGTTGTTGACCCACGTCCAGCTGTCAAGACTGAGATTTTGATGTGAAAGAGTTCCCAGTTTAGAGCTATTTAAAGAAAGGAGTGACCTTTAAGTATAAGTGCTGCAGTAATAATAATAATAATAATAATGTCATCACAATGTCAGCACTGTATGTTTCCATACAATGGCGAAATTAGTCTCTGCATTTAACCCATCCACCACCAGGTGGTGCAGTGGGCAGCTATTGAAAGCACCCGGGAGTAAGTGTCGTCATCGTATGTTTCCATACAATGACGACATCAGTTCTCTGCATTTGACCCATCACACCTGAGATACACCCAGGTGGAGCAGTTAGGGACTGGGTGTCTTGCTCAAGGACACCACGACATGTGGGCATGGCAGGGAGTCGAACTGCAAAGTCAGCTGCTCTACCTCTACACCATCTTGACCTTGACCTTTGACCCATGACCTTAAAATCCATAAGTAAAATCCATCACTTTAAAGGTTAAATTAAAGGAAAACAAGCTAAAACTAGCAGAAAAACAGCTGAATAGTAGGTGAAAGGCAATAAAAAATGAAAATAACAAAAAGAAGCTGAAGGGAGCATAAAAAGCTAAATTAGCAGAATTAAGTTAAAAACAACAGAGCAACAAAAACACTGTAAATCAAACCCAGTCTTGACCAATGAGAAGCAGGACTGATGGTTCTCACAGTTCAAGAACAGCTGAACCAGCCTAAAACGGCTAAGGAGAAGCTGTAAAAAGCTGAA